AGACATTCATCACTAGCCCATATTAAATATCCTTCTGAATCAATTCATGTGTCAAGCAGCTGCAGAGAGCTCAGTCTGAGGCTGATTCAGTGACATGGGAAGACAATGACCATGACCGACTGGAAGGGCTCCGCGGCTCATGTGCTTAGGCAATCATTACAGCCTTACACTAATGGAAGGTTCTGGGCGTTGATAACCTACAATAAAGATGAAAGCATGCTCTTATCGGCAGATCTTCTTATGCAATGAATAATATCTTCAATCTTCATAAAATTATTCACTTACCACAGATGGCAGAAGCACCTCAGGGAATGGACATTAACTTTTCCAAGACTAGCTAGATTTCAACACACAAAATATTCATTGTGGATCGAACTACCCTTCCTTTACAACACAGGAGTATCCATATAAGCGTAGGTGTCATTTCAAACACTTCTACAAAAGTAAAACTGGAGTTCTGGCCTCTGTGAGAATGGACTGCATTTCAATGCCAACAAATGAAAGAGGGGAATGTTTGTGTAGTGATGAGAAAGGCTGAGGAGATATCCTGGGGTGTAAAGGACAGATTTCAGGAGTCCAGGGTCTACCTCTGAGTTCTAACTGGACTTTGGTTGGGATATGTGCCCTTCAGGAAGTTTCTCAGTTTCCTAGGGCTTCAGTTTCCCTTCCTAAAAATCTAGATTAGATTGGTACTGGGTTAGATGGTGACCAGGCTAGATGATGACCAGGTTAGATGGTGACTGGATTAGATGGTGACAAGGTTAGATGGTGACAGGGTTAGATTGGTACTGGGTTAGGTGGAACTGAGTTGGATATTGGCAAGATTAAAATGTGTCTGGTCTTTCAAGCTTTGACTCTATCACTTGAACAATCTAAGATGACTAATCTCAAAACCTAATGAAACTTTTCTAAATTATACTGTAACACATGAAGACTTGTTTAATTATAAATTATACTCCTATATTAAATATATTTCAATACATTAATACATTAAAAAGGATGAGTTAAAATGGAATAAGCAGTATTTTAAAATAAGGAAACCAAACAACTCTTTTATGCGCACAGAGGCACATGTTGTGCTTTTCCAAACCCCGCCTTCAAATCTCGGATCTAGTGACCCAAAGGAAAGTCTAAGGGCACCTTTTTCCCCTGACACATTGTCTTACAAAGATATGGACATAGGTAGGAAAAGTACATCATTGACTTAGTATATTAACACTCATTTCTAAATGTCACTTGCTATTGACACCAACAGCTAATAATGGGAAGGGTGTAGTTAAAATTCAATTAATTATTTCCCACAGTGCTCATAATAACACCAGTCAGCAACCTCAGCCCAGATATGTCAGGGCTCTCATTCCATATAAAAGGACCAAATGGAACAATTTAATAATAAAATAAAATAATAACAATAAGAGAAAGATTTTCAGAGTCAATTAAAAATTCACCTGGGGATTGGCTCTTCTAAATGTCAAACTTTAAATAAGAAGGCCTAGAGAAGTTGAAAGTAAAAGGATAAAAAGAGTATTGAATGTCCACGTTAATCAAAAGGAAGCTATTCTACTGCACAAATGTCAGACCAAGTAGATGGTAATATCAGAACTTGCACTAAGATATTTCATAATGATAAAATGGTTATTTTGACAGGAAACTATATTAATACTACATTTGTGCATACCAAGTATTATAGTTTCAAAATGCCAAAATGAAAATTGCTAAATCCATAATTATACTTGTGAATTTTAATAACTTTTGTCATCTGCCAAAAAAGGATTAAAAAGTAGAGATATAGGCCAAATGACATGATTACTAGTAAACTTCACCTTATTGTAATTTATGGAATATGTAACCTCAAATTGCAGAGAACATTTACTCCACTTGAACATATTCTGGACAAAAATGTTAGTCTCAACTGATTTCCGGGTCTGAAATCATATTGAATTCATTTTCTGTCACTGGAAGAATTAAAGAAGAAATCAGGGAAAATAAACCCACTAACAATAAAATTCCCAAGAATTTGACTATTATTTAATATTTTGCTAAGTAGTTTCTGGGTACAAGATAAACTGAAATAGAATCTTTTTTAAGTTTTCAGGAATATGAAACATTAATATTTATAGGCATTGAAGATAAATCCAACTTTAGATAAAAGATTTTGTCTTAAATATACGTATTATAAAATATACGTATTATAAAATGTTACAAGTCAGTGTTCTAAGTATTCCCCTAAGATTGAGAATGGCCACAAGAAGTAAAGCCTGAGGGAAATAATAAGGAAGAAAAACATAAAAGGTTTGAAAAATGTGAACAATAAAGAAAATCAACTATAGTTGATCCTCTGAGTAAATGAATAAATGGATACAGCCTAGAGAGAGACCTGTAATTAAGGACAGAGGAGGAGTGCTGAGGTCCTCCCAGCAGCACAGAGACCGTGAGCTGCTGTTTTCAACAACCCTATGCTGGAAATTTAAGATTTCAAGTTATAAGACAAAATCCCTGGAAATTTGTTTAAGAAAAACAAGCTAGTAATTAAGAACCTACATGTCTTTTAAAAAAGAAAAGTATGACTTGAATGCTGTGGGACAATGGTCTTTTATCCTGTCACTTGTATTAGTTTTAATAAAATGTTGATTGGCCAGTAGCCAGGCAGGAAGTAGAGGCGGGGCGATGAGAACAGGAGAATTCTGGGAAGAGGAAAGCTCAGTCTGCAGTTGTGACCCAGACGCAGAGGAAGCAAGATGTGACTGCCTCACTGAATAAGGTATTGAGCCACGTGGCTAACATAGACAAGAATAATGGGCTAATATAAGTTGTAAGAGTTAATAAGAAGTCTGAGTTACTAGGCCAATCAGTTTATAATTAATGTAGACCTCTGTGTGGTTTTCTTGGGGACTTAACAACTGTGGGAACTGGGCAGGACAGAAACCTCTGTCAACACTTGAAGAACGAAATTCTTAGTCATTTAGGCAAGTAACAACACAAATCTTTAAGAAGGGCTTTTCCACAGAATGAGAGAAGAGAATAATTCCTAGTAACACTCAACTTGATTTTTGTTTGGTTGGTTGGTTTTTGTTTTATTTTTTTGACTCAGGGTTTCTCTGTACCTTTGGACTCAATAATTTGTGTTTTGAGACCACTTTGTTTCATCAGACAAAAACCTGAAAAAGCTATTATGTAAAATGAAAATTACAGGAGAATTTTTTCTCATGATTTGAACATAAACCTCTCCAACAAATTATTAGCAAACCCTACCTCAGCGATTTTCTCAAACTTTAAAATTTGTATTTATACCAGAAAGCGGCATTTCAAATCAGTCACCACATTAGAAGACTAAAGATCAGAAAATCTATGATAATGTTAATGAAGGCATTTGATGGAGACCCAACATTCCCTAGACTGAAAGTCATGGAAACCCAAGGCATGAGGGGAATTGTTTAATCTCACAGAGTGTGCGGTAGCGAGCAGTGACCAAGAGCAAGACAGTGAGAGTGAGGGAAACTGATGATGAGCGTAAGAAAAGAAAGTGATGTCCGGTCTCGCACACACAATTAAGTCAGGGCTGGATCTCCAGCCTAAGCACAGCAGCTTAAAGCTCATCTCTTAGAGACATAAACATAGAATATGCTTGTGACCACAGAGGGGGCAAAGGCTGACTTTTTAACAAGCTGAAAAATTATCTTAAAAACAAAATGGTGATAGAGTTTATTAAACATAAAAACCATTGCTCATCAAGAACTGTCGCTGAAGAAATGACAAGGCATGCTGGACACTGGGAGAAAAGACGAATCTTACATCTATCCGACGAGGAACTAGTATGTAGAGAGTTCACTTGGAAAGGTTTCTTACCAATGAACAAGACAAGAAAAATGAACAAACAGGAGAGATATAGGAATGGCCAGTTATACATGAAAAGAAGTCTCACATCATGAATTAGAGGGATTAAATTAGAAAATTAAAACCATTGTTTGACTCCATTTTACACTCCTACTGCATCGAACGTGAAGACAGTGGCCTCAGTGTTGAGAATGGGGAGCAGCTGGAACTCTCAGTCTCTGCTGGTGGACTTCATGTAAGATGACCCAGATGCTTTGCAAAGTGACATCCTCGCATGCTATGAGAGGTGGCTTTACTTATGTAGGTTGAAAGATTCCTCCTTCGCTAAAGCTAGCTTAAACTAAGTCTCTCTAGCTGGGAGGCAGTGAATTACAGCTGACAGAAGCAGGAAGACACACCACCAAGCCACCAGCTGTGCGGTAGTCTGATCTGGACAAGATGGAGCAGAACTGCTTACCCGTGGGGAGTTAGGAAAAGTCTCAACTGTGTTGCTCTGACACAAGTGTACAAAGCCAGCAGCTCTGACCTGGGACCTCAATGCCATGGCTGACTCTATTCTGGCTGTGTGCTTAAATGGTTCCTCTACAGTGCCATCTGCATGTTTCAAAAGACAGCAGTCGACATGGCTGTAAGTTAAATAGTAGCAAAAACACAATATGCAATTTCCATGATTAATTATGGGATGCGACCATCAAGAAGACACTAGTGACAAGAGATACACTCTGGGATTTATGTGGGATGTTACAGCAACACTTGCTCGATGCAAGGCTTAAGGACGCGAGATCTTAATAGACTATTGGACACATAAAAGAATATTCTAGACTGGGATGTACATACATTTTAAAATGTCAGACAAACGCAGCCAGCCACAGGTCAAACGGAAAGCACATGGGATAAACAGTACCTTCAAGTTTTCATATACATATAAATAACCCCCACTCGCCATTATGACTCCTGAGTGCAGGCTTTTAGTGTGGGGCAGCCGATTAGGTGGGAGTCCTATAGGACTTGACATCATCTCTGGTGGACGCATTCCTAGTCTGGCTCTCTGCTTTTCCAATCTTAACAAGTTTGTGCCACCAAAATACATCTTGGCTTCCTTGTTTTTCTATTTGCCCTTTCTTCCTCTGTAGAACTGAAATTGAAGGGAAGAGAAAGAAGCATACCAGTGTCGTACGTCACGATGAGCTTCCCGTTATGGTTGCCTACGGTCTGGGGCTCGAAGTCCACTTCCAGCTGCATGGACTCCCCCACGTTAAGAATCCCGGCCGTTGGTTCTATGGAAAAAGGCCTGCAAAACACGTGGAGGCACGATCAGAACATACTTCCGACTCTTAGGACGAGCAGAGGAGACGTCGCTCCGGATCTTCAGAGGGCTCATATCCAACTTCCTGCTCAGAAGTGCAGTACTGATTGCCCATTGGTGGGAGAGAAGCGGGTTGAATGTTAAAGGAACAGTAACAGATCAGCAAGGCGAGAGACCCAACAGGTCCAGTCATTCATTCGTGTTCCTGTTTGTGTTCTTGCCCTTCAGATCTGTTTTTTTTTTATTTGTGGGGTGTTCCTGCTGGGAATAAAATGGATAAAAGTCAACAGTGCCCTCAAGACTCAGAGATTACAATATTGAATAGACTGTTATTTGAAAAAGAATCCTGCCTTCCTAGGGCTAAAAGTCCAGTGTGTCGAGTTTAGAGGAGAGCAGATCACAATAGTGGAAACCCTATCCGAGTTCCCAGAGGAGAGCTTACCAAGGCTCCATTTTAAGGGGATGGGAGAAGGGGAGGGAACTTCAAAGAGATGACGCGACACCTCTGGGTTCTTACCAGCCACTACCATCTCTAGGCCCAAGAAGTCATGGGAAAGGAGGAATCGCAAGAGAAGGCAGCCTAGTGAGCAAAGAGAGGGGAACGGCCTAGGAAGCCGTGCAGTAAATAATACCACGATGGGCAATCTCATTGTCGAGTCTACTGAGGCTTCAAATCACCAACGAGGTCACTGAGGCACCCTTCTGGGTAAGTCTGTGAGGCTTCCACAGATGGCTGACTAAAGGTGGAAGACCTGCCCTGAATGCAGGTGCCACCATCCCGTGAGCTAGGGGCCTGAATGGGATAATGAGGAGAAAAGGGAAAAAGCCAGCCAAGTGCCCCCCATGCCATCAAGTGCCCTGCTCTTCCCTGCCCTCTCTGCTGGAGTGGACTTGAGGCAAAAATCAGGTCTTCCTGGCTTAAGTTCTTTCTGGTGGGCGCTTTGTGATAACTTCATGAGAAGTAACTGACAAAAATCCTGGTCCCTCACCTCACCCTCTGTCTGACTGCTTATCCCAGGCTCCTATTGGCTGAATCCAAACAGAGGTCAAAAGTCCTATGGAAGTGTACCATAGAGGTCAGCTTCCCGGGCACACGCAGGAGGAAGAAGGAAGGAAATGCAGTTAGGAGATGAACAGGACAAGTTCTGCATCTTGAAAACAGAACTGGAGACTCAGATGTCAGGAGGCAGGAGGGTGGATTTGAGCAGCGCGGGATAGTTTCACTGAGTGGTCCTGGAATGGGATAGTAAGCTGGACCTGATTATGAAGCACTTTGAACAACGCATGGAGCTCCTCCTTCTAAACAGGAAATTCAGTCCGTTTAATTATTTTCACGGTCCATTTCACGTCTTTAAATTGCTAGTTTTTCAAAGTAATGTGGTAGGCCGTGCAGCTGGCAGGCTAAGCTGTTTCTGAGTACTTCTATTACAACAGCATTTGGGATCAGCATCCTTTAAGTCTGCCTGTAGCTAAAGAACTCAGATTCAAAGAACATAAGCTCTCTGCCATGAGGACACAGAGAAGACACAAGGGTCGCACGAGGTGGTGGCTGAGATTGTTCACTGGGACCTCTGCGGCCTCCAGGAACAATACCTATTCACTTTCTCTGTTGCCCTCTGTTTGGATCTCTTCTTACAACCCCTGATCTTTCTTTCTCTCTCCTTTCCTAGTAGACATGATACCAACTCTGGTGATCTCTTGGTGCTACTTCAGGGTAACCTGGAGTTGTTGGCCTTTAAATTGACCTCTGGAGATGACCGAATGACGTGCCACAGCCTTAGACAAGTTATTTAAAAGCCATTTTCTCATCTAGAAAATTGGTCAAGATAGCACCTGCCTCATAAGATTGCTGTGTAGAGTAAAGGGATAAGGAGTCTGGGATAATGTCTGGCCCCAGGAGTATCGCATGATACAAATGTTTATTGCTATTTTATCGTTACCAGTTTTCCAGCAATGCTGGAGGAGGAACCTAAAGATATACTCAGGTGTTCAGTTAATTTTGAGCTTCTATTTCTGCCCCTTTTGCCTTCATTCAGCTCTGGGGAGATTGTAACACAACACACTCACGTACAGCACAACTTAGTGTCTTACTCAAACACCGTTCCTGGGCCTGATGATCTAAGCAATCAAGTTCAAACCCTCAGAATTCAAAGCCAAACACAATCTGTTCCCACCCAGGTTTTGCATCCCAATTGCACGCATTCACATGTATCTGACCCCCGGCTCACCTGTCACACTCCCAGGCCGTTGGGGCGGGGCAGGTGGGAGGCTTTGGTCTCCTTACCCACAAAGTCCCCCAAGTACGGCACCTGCTGTGACCAAACAGACGGCCTCCTGCATAGACAACCTGCGACTGCCAGGATCCTATCAGGAAAAACACGGTCTTCCCATATGTGACACGCCTTTGACTGTCACTGATCAGAGCTCAGATTCCAAGTCACCGCTTACATAGAACGCTGCCACATGTGGAGCACCTGTGGGCCTGCATGTGGGGTCCCACTCCTGAAACCCCCTTTCCTCTGAAGGGTTATCAGCTATTGAGAGGCGCACCCACGGAAGTTAATGCTGGTGCAAGGTAAGCCACGGGAAGAAGCAGAGAAGTGCACTCTGCCACTGAGCTGCACCCCCGGCCCACAGTCAATCATGAATGCCAATAAAACTTTCACCTTCTTGCATCAATCTTTATACTGTCTTGGAATAGAAAAGGAGTAAACTTCCAGCAGCCAAGACATCCTTCCTTTATGGAAGATGCTGAGTCTTCCAAGGCCCAAGGTCCTTTCCTCCCTTTCAGCTCAGTAAGACTCTGACCCTCGAGGACAGGGCCCCATTCTGACTTTGAGAACAGCACAGCAGTGACTTCTCCTTTGCCTCTCCACTTTCTAATACTGCACCTTCACTTTCCTTCCAAATGCATCTCGGTAGCACAAGAACATGCTGAAATGAATTGGATGCGATCCTATTGCAGAACCTCAGCTAATATTCTGCAGAGAAGGTGACGCCAGTGTCACATCTCTAGGACCCGCAGGATTCTAAATTCTATAGAGAGGTAATGGATACTTTCCCCCGCGTGCTAATTGCTAGCTTTAGATTAGACTAAGCTTCTTCAGCAGTGAGAGGAGTCACCTGGGATCACTCTCACCTCTTGGAGCTGCCCAAGCTCTCTCAATACATCAGACGCTAATTGGGCAGAGTGCGTTAGGCGCTGGTGTTTAATCACTGCCTGTAATTTGATTTTGCACTTCATTTTACTAGAGGCCTCCAGGCCGAACTGCCTGCAAAATATCAAGTGTCAGAAAACACTCTTACAAAGAAGTGAAGAGCAGTGATCCTCCGGGGTCTGAGGTGGGTTCTGTCTATTACACTGTTTAGTTTTGATATGACACCCTCGTTAATATCAAATTCTTAATTATGGATGGAATTTGGTCTTCTGAAAAATCATGAGTCTCGTCTTGGAATATTAAATAGTGACTATCATCTTAGTGCCTTTCCTCCCCATGGTCTCTCTGATATTTCACTTCCAACTTGAGTCTTTAGGTCTTTAAGTTGCTTCCCAACCCTCTATCATCCTCTTCCCAATATTAATCCCCCTTTAGCAGTCAACGTTATTGTGTGACCTGCTAGAGTTCTAGGTCAAAGCTGCACTAAAGTGGAATGGCAATTGTTTATGTTCTCTGGATATTTTATAGCACACCGCTGCTCCTTGTATTAGTGCAGAAACCATTACGCCCATTTTATAGTCCTTGGAACGTGTGTTCTTAGTTTAAGTCATTGCGGAGGTTTGCAGTTGTAGCTTTGCCTCTGTGACATATTGTCGGCCAGGCATCCCATAAACATTTACTGAGCACTTATTTACCCTAGACATTTGCTGAGCGCATGCAGATGAAACAGTAAGATACAATTCTTGATGGGCCTCAGATGTGGGAGCCAACTCTTCTTCTTATTGTCTATATAAACCGAACTATCTTATACATCACTTAAACCACTGTTTAAATGAGAACAAAAGCAAGATCTGTTTTAACAGAATTTCCCATGAGATATTGTTTCACATTGTATTTTGAACTAAAAGTGTTCAGACCAAGAGGCAAGGCCTTTGCCTTTATATTCTCCACTGGTCACCAGTTCTATCTCTGTGTGTCTATTTGGCATCGTGTTGACAAATGCACCCTGTCTGGGAGACAGACCACCTGAGTGGGTTTGTAGAAAGGATACCCACTAGGGAATCTCTGCAGAAATTCCAACTGCAGATTACAAATCCAACCACGCCCCTCTCGCTGCAGTCATGAGAAGCCTCACTTGCAAACAGAAGCCTAAAGTAGCTAATGCAGAAAAGAGACCGCCGGAAGGATGCCCTGCGGTTCACTGCACTGGCAATGTGGTTAGAAATCATCAATTTTGTGGACAGGCACAAAGGTACAGTTTCACAATGAGTGTGGAGAGGAAAACAACAGAATGTGCAAGGTGGGGACTCGAGAGACTTGACCACACAAAAGACGGGCAAAATGAGAAACCTGCCTTCACACAGTGAGGGATGGCCAACAGCGGCTAGACATCCCAATCCTTAGACCAGAAGCAAAAGGAAGAGGAAGTGAGGAGGGTTATCAGATCCTGGGGTCCAGTCTGATGGCAGCTGGGGCCACAGTGAAGACAGGGCTCAGCTGAGGAAGGAGAGGGTGAAGGAGCCCCCTACCCCCTTCTTCCTGTCCTCTAGTCTTCTGGTGACCCATGGTCAGACACAGTGCGATCTAATGACGCAAGAGGCTTGGAAGGTCATTACCCCAACGGTGATGACAGCCACACAGGAGAAGGGTAAACAAGCCCCAAGTCTGTGTGTGCTAATACAGCTTCGGTGATAACTTCCCGAGGGGACTTGCTAGGTCATTTTCTTCCTCCCACCTTCAGCTGTAAGGTGGGAACGTGGGGACAGGGTCTCTCACGCTGATTCCCAGCTGCCCCTGAGTTTACTCCTCACTTAAACTCCGAATTACTGCGCTAGGAAAATGTGGTAATTTGTTCACAGCTGAATGGGTAAATGAACAGAAATGTCTTAGATACTTGTCAGCAATATTACACTGTTGACTGTGGGTTTGTTTGTTTGCTTTCTTGGCATTTACATGTATCTGATATGTAAGAAACTGATAGGTGAAAAGTGTTAAGAATTAGACAACCGATCCAAGAGGATATTCTGCCTGCATTTGTTTTTCCATATCGGGTGACTTCTCGTTTACATATAAAAACATCAATATGATAAAACTCATTCCTGAAGGGAAACTATGTGTCAGCTTTCCTCTGCAAACCAAACATAGCAGCATCTTTTATTTCTTTTTAACAAAAATTAGAATTATAAATATTTGGAGAGCTAGTATTCTTTTTACCACCTGGCATTAGCTCACTTAAAAAAAAAAAACAAAAGGACAGACACTTGTTACACAGCACGTGCATTACTCCAGCAGCTTGGCTTTGCTAACTAATTTTATCCTCAGTAAAAACTCTATAAAGTGACTATAGCCCCCCATTTCTCAGATGAAAAAACTGAGGATCACAGGTCAAGGAATATGGGCAACTCTGTAGAAGATGAAAAGCTAAGGCATGTGTTCTCCTCACAGGCCTCCAGAAAGGATAAAGGCCTGCTGATATCCACTGTGATGTGAAATTATCAATTTATATTGTTTGAAGTCACTAAATTTATGATAACCTGGTGTATCATCAATAGCAAACGAACACAGCCAATATTCCCAATTCTTGGTTAAAAAAAAATCTAGGTTTACTTATAAATTCCCATGGGTCATCCTATGTATTAAAGAAGGTGACATTTGGTAAGACATGGATGGTAAACCTGGAATGTTCGATCCCTTTAGGATGAAGACACAGCCTGATCGACAGCAATGTGGTCTCCCAGCTTTGCAGCTGAAGCTGTAACAAGCCAAGCCACCCCCAAAGCTAGTCCAGCCAGAGTTGGCTGTAAGTGATCAAAGGCCAGAGTTGCAGGAATGCATACCTGCGAGCTTTGAGGTGGAACACGGAGTCTTTGTTGCCAATGTTTCGGACCAGCAGAACCTTCTGGGTGCTGTATTTCACAGGGCAAGTGGAAAAATTCAGCTCGTCAGGGAAGTCCAGGATGGCTCGAGCCCCTCTGGCTTTGACGGGCACAACAAACTTTTCTCTTTCAGTAATACAGGTCAACATGTGGGCATAATCCTGCCAGGAAAGGACACGATCATTATTTGTGGGGACCCCAACATGGCCAAGCTCACTGTAAAAGGGAAAATAGGGGTTTATGGCAGGCATTGTGCAGAACAACTCAGAGTGTTCCTCTACAGACTTTCATCATTCCCACCCCCCAACCTCATTTTCCAACCATTTGAGAAACCTGAACTCCAAGCTTCTCCACTGGTTTATAGGTTTTGACACTTGGCCAGGCCCTTGCCTCTCACTAGAAAGGATGTCAGAGAGAACACCTCACTATTTGTCCTGAGAAGTCTGTAGAGGAACATGCTGAGTTGTTCTGCAGAATGCCTGCCATAACCCCTAGTTTTCCTTTTACAGTGGTCTGTAAAAGGAGCTTTTTGATTTTATTCTTGTTTTTCTTTTCAACAAGTCTCTTTGGGTTTTGAGGACAGAGTAGGGGTGGAAAGTCTCGCATACAGATTGACGCAGATCACCTGTGCCCTGCACCTCAGGATGCCACAGGGCAGGGAGGAAGCTGTGGGGTTCCCACTAGTCTAGTCATTCTGGTGAGGGTACAGGTGCCTGGCAAAGGACTGGCTAGGAAACAGACGTGGTTACAACCTCTTCCCTTTACATGAGGATGGAAAAGAAAATGAACACATGAATAATGTCTATGGACATTATTTCATCATGTATGTGCAATATAATGCCATCCACTGTGTAGATGCATTAATAAACATAAGGGCAAAATAGCCAGCGTATAAACCCGTGGTTCTCTCTGCACCTTCCAACCCCCAGCCCCACACCCAGCTTCCCAGCAGGCACCTCTCTGGATGGAAATACATCGTGTCCCACACCAAACCCCCTGATTAACACTACAGCATACAACACCACATAAAATCCCCTGCCAATGGGCAGGAGTGAGAGTTGAGAGCAGGAGCTGACACCCAAGCCACTCTTCTGGGACCTGACTGAATCAGCCCAGGCTGCGGACTTTTTCTTAGTCCCCACGAAGACCCCACAAAGCCAGCTGAGGTCCAGCTCCTGATCAGTACACCCCAACCCAGTTCTAAGACATCCTCTCAGGTTTGCTGCAGATGTCCCCGTCATTTGAGTGACCTTGAACAGACTAGACTAACACATTCTAGATCCCCCCCCCCCCCGCTTTATTTTCTTGGTGCTCTTGAGAACCTACCTACATTCAAGAGATATCCTGAGTGCAGCCACTTCCTGCCACCCTGATCCTAGCATGGCAGTTTCTCCTGGGCTATTGAGACCCTCCTCATTCAAAGTCCATTTCCATCCAGTTAAGGTGGAAGTGAGCTCAGGCTGTGCCTCTGGTCAAAGTCACCCTGGTTGAGGACTCCACAGTGAGGCCTCCATCTTCTCCCCAGCCATATGTCCTCCTGTCCTGCTCACTCTTCCATGCAGCTACCATCTCCCAGGGCCACTCCGAGCCTTCACACTCAGTGCTTGCTCAATTCACACTCGCTGTCCTCTGGTTACTTCAGGTGCTTCTGTCCACTCTCTCACAGAGAACTCATTGTCGACTCCATATAAGCTTAGCCCTTCCATGCCACTGAGTTCTAGGCATCCCTTACTACATCACAGTTCAGACTTATCAAACATTTGATGAACGTTTGCTGAACTAAGAGAAATCAGTAATGCAACACTGGATAGTAGTGAATGGAAAATAAGTAAATAAATAAAGTGATCAAAGGACAGAATACTGGGGAGGGGCCAGGAAGGACCTCCACAAAGAGGAGGCATGCTAGTCAGAGTGGCCAGAGTGAGGACTGAAGCTATATAGCTGGATGACTCGCTGGGGAAGTATGACTCAGAGCTTGTGGCCAGAGGAAAACATGGCAGGAGGGGTAGAGACCCAGGAGAGGCAGGGGTGGGCAGGGAGGTCACAGAGCATCTCTTAAGCCAGTGACAGGACCTGAGGATGGCAGGAAGCAATAACAGTGTGGACAGCTGATCCCCCACACAGCCCAATTTATAGCTTAGGAAAAGCATTGGTAACCACACGGGCAGTGGACTGTAAGTGGACTTCAGTAGAGAAAGACAGGCCAGCTAGGAGGTCACCACTGTAGTCCCAGGGAAGAGATGATACTAATCTGCACCGTGAGCTAATGTGCTCGCTTCGCCAAATGTCTGCCAAGGAGAAGTTCTCAATCAGTGTGGCCTGTCACCATAAATCTCACATGTTAAATACGGTGCTGGGTGAAAGCCATTCGGCGAATGGTCGGCATGTGCTTCCTTGTGTTGTTGAGGTGATTGTAAGGGCACCCACTGAAAATGATACCAGGATGAGGACGAGGTAAGTCAGGGCACAGTGAGGGCTTTGAGAAAATGGAGTATCATCAAGAGCTGCAGTCTGAATGAAAAATGTCTCCCACTGTCTCAGGCATGTGGACGCTTGGTCCCAAAGTTGGTGGTATTATCGGAGATGCTTAGATGGTGTGGCTTTCCTGGAGGAAGTGTGTCATTGAGGGTGGGCTTTGAGATGCCGCAGCCTCACCCTGTTCTTAGTTTGCTTCCTCTGCATCGTGTTTGCCATCTAAGATGCGAGCTCTCAGCTTTCTACCCAGTGGCCAGGCTCGTCTGCTGCCATGGCTCCCTGATAGTGGTTGTGATGGGCTCTCATCCCTCTGGACCAATAATCCCAAATAAACCCTCATTCTGTAAGTGCCCTTCGTGGTATTTTATCATGATAGAAAAGTAACTAAGACAAATGCTGTGTGGTACGGGACTCGTAAGTCTTAAAGAACCAAGCAAGCCTCCTGGTGGAAGTGACCTTTGATGGAGAGCTGGACCACAAAAGAAACTAACCAGGAGAGATCCAGGGAACAGAGTGTTCCTGGCAAGGGGGACCATGAACATAAAGTCTTCAGGTAGGTGTATGCAATAAAAATTAATGAACAGTACTCTCAAAATGTATTAAAGTTAATTTGTTGGGCTCTTCGCCTCGCAATTGATTTTGCTTTTCAGATGGCAATGCCAAGCTTGGGAATGATGACATCCGGACATAAGGAAGTACAAATTATAGTGAAATATCTGGTCTTAGGAAGCCCCATAAAACTCAATCACACAACTGTTTAGTCAGATGACAGCGGCATCTTAAAGAGGTAAGCATTGCTTTCATTTTTCTTTAGGTGCTCAAACCCAGCCAGCAAAGTTTTTGTTGAGAGCCATAAACTGGAAAGCAGTCGGAAGAGGATTAATTAAGGCTTTGAGGGGCTGCTGCAGAGCCAGGCTCAGAGGCAATCCTGGGGTGTTTTAGTTTAGTTCTCGATGTGTCTTATGTCTTGCTAGAGATGCTGAGGAGGCTGACTGACAGGGTACCAAGGACAGTTTGGAGTCTTCTCAAATTCCCAAGTGAAGGTTAGACACTGAGGCACAATTTTTTTCTCTTAACTGATTCCCACACCCAGAAAAGAACATGAAGACAATTTAAAACAGTGCCTTTAAAGCACACTCCAATCTCCAAGGTTAGGAATATAATATAATATAACATAATATAATACAATTTCTATCGCAGATTATGTAACACGCCAGTAGATACTGCTTTATTGGTTTGGGCTGAACTCAGATATGATGACTCAGGAGCCTAAGCTATTGCTCCAGCTGATGGAATTCCTTCCTGAGATGCAGAGCCATCAGGTCACCATTCAAAGGCAGGGTGTTAGTTCCATGCTCTCTCCCTTCTACCATGAGACTCTGCCGTGAATCACCCCACTGAAGGGCTACCCCAGTAACAGTGCTCTCCAGACAGCCTTCTTTCTGACCTCCCTCTTCAAACCTGAAAACCAGCAGAAAACACTAGCAGAGAAGAATTGATTGTCTGGGAGTAAAAAGAATTGAATCCTGGTTTTTACATTAGTTCCTTGATAGAAAGCAAACGGGCATAGATATCTCTGGAGACTCGGCAGAGGGAAATGGTGCCTTCTACTCCAACAAATGACTGGATGTTAAGGTCAAGGTCAAAGAGGCTAAAGCCTTACCTCCCCTTTCTGCCTTCTGTGTTGGGGGAAATGGCAACAGAGTAAAAACTGATGTGGCCAGGAGTTAGTGAAGTCCCCTTTCATCTGGATAACCTTCCAGATCCTTAACCAGTGACAAGCATTTGCTAGATAGTAGCTTCTCAATCTAGATTCACCCTCAGAAGGAATTCCTTAGGAGCTAGAATTTGGAGTTTCCAAACTGGAAACTAGAATTCTTTTGGAAATCCTAAAAGAGTTTAAAAAGGGATTGACCAGATATCCTGGGTTTAGCCTGTTCCACTGGTAGCACCTCCTGTCGTTGAGCTAAGATCTTAGCGTCATGGGGGTAGCTATATCCCATCTGTTAAGAGAACTATTTCTGACCTTGGGTGTGGAAAGAGAGCCAGGATTTATGAATTTATTTTAATTATTGATTGTTTAAATAGATAATGTGAATTTACTTTTAGAATTCACGTGAATAATATCACCCACAAGGACAAGTGATTTCCCTTAAGTGCAAAGAAGCGTGATCTAGTGCCCTTAACCCTGCCAGTCACCTGTGCTTGCTTCCACATCCACGCACTCTCTGCCTTCACCCTGTTCCTAGGATCAGCCACTCTCTCCTACACATCAGATAGCAACCCTTCTGTCACCCCAGTCCCGCCCCAAATCTCTGGATTTTCCTCTTTCCTGAACAGACACACTTACAATAGACCAGCTTACAATCACATGTCAATGTTCTATTCCAATGTGTCTAGCACTATGCTGGGCTGTGTGGTTACAGGACGGGCCTAGACAGAACTAGGGAGAGCTGAATCTAGACAGAAAGAAAATAAAATTCCTAACGACGGAAATTACCGATTAGGAGAACATGCCTGCTGCCGATAATTCCAGCACTGAACTGGCAGAGGCAGGGGAGTCAGAGTTCGAAGGGATTCTCATCTGAAGAGTTCAAGGTTCGTCTAGGTGCCACGGGATCCCATCTCCTATCCACCCTAAAAGATGTTATGGTATCTACACTTTAATTCAAAGTGCTGGCAATAGAATTTATGATTATTATATACCTAGGGCACATAAAATATGCTAATGTTTTATCCTTCTTGAGACATGTATTAAATTTTATAGGAAAGCCATTTTTGACAGCTAATTGACCATTTCCCCTAAAAACATCCGCAGAGAAAACAGAATAGTGTAACAAACACCTCGGCACTCACCACCTAGATTTAACCATAACTGATGTGCCTTCATTCTGATCTCATCTAAACATGACTCTTAAAGCTCCACCCTGCATTCCCTCCTCCGAATACTGCTACATCCTCACCCTGCAGCACTATACAGACATGCTTTCTCGAGCCTAAGTCAGTATTCTGTGCTGCCTCCTAACCAGAGCTTAACATTTTCCCAGCTCAATTTAATAATAAACATAATTTAAGAGGTCAAGAAAATAAATGACAGGCTCCAGAATTCCCTGGTGCTATTTGACTAAAACACTGACTATTACGCTTCCATGGTGCATGCTGCATACAATGGCTTTAGTAGACTAATAACACAGACAGTGTTTTTTTTTTTTAAGTCTGTGTGGGAGGAGACAGGGAAAGCCAAAGTGAATCGACTGCACCTGTTATCTGGGCAGTTGGCATTCTTGGCAACCGCCATGCCCAGGAAGCCAATCAAAAGATGGCAGGCGAGGATGCAAATGGCTTATCATCTTCAATGTGCTGACATACACGGGTGCTGACAATCCAACTGAGCTTATTAAATGTGTCTTAATTTAATCTTAAATAGAGCTTATTAAAGTCTAATTTACATATCTCACCCCCCCCAGATGTGAGGAGCGTGAATGAGAGTGGCGAGGGAACGGTCAGCAGGGGACACAGAGGCAAACTGTGCGGTGCTCAACTCTTTGACTACCAATTCAGCCAACGGAAGAAACAGGGACACTCAGTGAAATAGACTGTTTCCTACGCCACACCCGGCTTCGTTTCTCCTCTGCCGCCTTCTGCAACAGCATGAAAGACAGCATGCCTGAGTTTAGCTGGTCATTCTGGGTACAGGCCCTGTCGGCTTCCCAACAGTGAGGAGTGGGACACTGAACGCGGGATACTGCTGGTAGCTGTAAGAGGAGCCCTGGAAACCAGAATATCACCTACAGGGCCTCATGCTTGCTGGGTGAGTCCTCCATCACTGACCTGTATCCTCAGCCCTTCTTCTTCTCTTTTTAATCAAGAAATGGGGTCCCCGGAAGTTCCCCAGGCTGGCCTTGAACTCATTCTATCACCCAAGAAGGCCTTGACCTTGAGAACTGTCTGCCTCATCCTTCTGCGTGGTTAGGATCGGGCGCCTAGGCCACCAGGGATTGACTCGATAATCCATAGCAGAAAGCCTCGCATATGGATTTCTCCCCTCCCTTCTGTCAGCGGTCACCAAACAGGACAGAAACTCCACAAACACCACCCAAGAAACAAACAGTATGACCAGTGACGAGGCAGGAAAGAGTCACTTCAGGAAAGTAGTGGCAGCCACATTTGCAGTGAGACCTGGTGATGACATTAACAGCAGGTGGTGAGTCTTAGTGGCAGAGAAGTGGCTCAGAGCTCTCTTGTCTGGCTCATCTACTGATTTTCACTATAATGGCACACACAGATAAGTATGCCCACTATTAACATTACCCATAGCCCACCTCTTTATCCGAGGGCTCTGGTTTTGAGAATTCTATACTTGTATACAAGGAAATATTATCATATAGACCCCTTATCTCCCCATCCAAGTCTCTTTCAATATGCTCCCTCCCAACTTCATATATAGGATAACTCATTTAAGTTCAGTCAATGCTGCCCATAGGTGCACAGGCATGGGGACAGCCTCTGGAGCATGGGGACCTCATCAGTGGCCACATCCTCAGGAAAGAATGATTGTTCCTCCCCCAGCAACTGTCCACTGCTAGTGGCGCCTCAGAAGGGGTGGTGCATTGGGAAATCATCTCCCCCACCTATGCTAATAATGGAGCCTTTTGTTTCTACCCATTTAACTATTGTTTTCCGTTCTAGTTCCTTCACACTGTGGTGAGATCCCTTCTGCCATCTCCTGAGTACCCAGGTGGGCTCAAGAAGGAGAAAACCTAACCAGCAATTGTGCCTGCGACTCCTGCATCCTAGCTCCTTCCCTCCAAGGAAGAGCTGGGGTTCCCATGATCTAGGAAAGCCTGGGGGTAGTGCTAAGGGAAAAGGGCCTTAGCTTTTGGCTGTTTGTGTGCAGACAGGGTTCAGCTGACCGGGCAGGGCTTTGCTGTTAGCTGTTTCTTTCTGGCTGTGGATGAGGGAGATTTTATGGGAAGTCAGTCCTTTATGGAGAACCAGTTATCTAGTAGACAGTAGGGATCAGGAGACTTCATCTCAGCCTGGAGCCCTGACTATATTTTTGCTCAAACTGAGGTTGACTGCGATCAATATTTGAATTCAGGTCTCTTTCCCAAGTTATGTTAGAATCCTGGGAGGGAGGACACACAACCTACTAGTGTCCTGTCCTATAAACCCACTGTCTATCCTTTCTCTCAGCTCACTGCATCCAGGCAGGACCTTCTCTTTATTGGTGGCTCTCTGTACACAGTATAAACCGGTTGGATCCAGGCGAGCAGGGATTCGGCAGTGCCAGGATTCTTCACAGACCAGTGACTTAGGGCTCATGGGCACCCTCGTCACCCAACAATTCTTTGCTCATTGCTAGTAGCACGGCAGCCTCCTCCTGCTACCTCCCTTTCTGCCCTCACCACCACCAAATCTAAAAGCGACAATCTCCAGAGCACCGCCAACACAAGCTCTGATGCCATGTTTGCACACAGCTTGTCCTGGGGTTTAGGGGCGGCAGGGGGTTGGTCTTCAGCATGATGGTGTTGGGAGGTGGTATCCCTTTAAGAGGTGGAGACTGGGGTGGGGGAGGAAGCTCAGTGCTGGTCCTTCTGCAAGTTCTAGTTTCCTTTAACCCCATGCTATCTCCCCTTTGCAGAGGATGCTATCCCCCATGAGGTGACTCAGCTAAGGTAGTGGGTGGGCTTGCTGCAGTTAAAGCTGTTGGCAGTGCCAGCCTCTAAGATGGGGAGGTAGATAAATCCCTTTTTCACACGCCTACCCTCAGGTATCCATAACAATAATAAAACCACTGACAAAAACCCAGACTAATACAACTACCATCAACAACAAAATACCATCACCAGTTCTACTACCAAAATATCAAGACCCACCAAATAAATGTGACCCTCACCACCACCACCACCACCAGAGCCCACTCCTAATACCGCCAACACTACCATGGACACCAGGAAGTCCTGTGAGTTGAACTACAAATGAGATACATACTCTTTTTTTTTTTCTTTTGGCCAGTGTTGTCATTACCTTGTTCTCCTCTGGAGTGAAAAGGATCCGGAATATAGACGGCACCCCTGGGGCCACCTTGTGACCGATGTCTTTGGGGCTGATGACTTTAAAGTAAGGTGAGCTTTCTTCAACAACTTTTACCATCCTTGGGATCTGCAGGGGAGACACACGATGGTCACACCAGGCACAAGAGGAAGGCACAGTAAGCATGATGGTTTGGGAGGTGGCCACTCCTTGCTATGTGTGGCCTTCATCAGGGTTTCAATGGCTTCAGCTAAAAAGGGAAATAGTGGAGTCTACCTTTATCCTAAGGGCTCTGACAGTCAGTCTTCAAGACTTTAAGCACACACTCAGGAGGAGGTACCAACATCAGCATCAGCAGATGCTCAAAAGTAGCCTGGTCTATACAGTGAGACCCTGGGGAGAGTCAGGGAAAGAGAGAGAGAGACAGAGAGACAGAGACAGACAGACAGACAGACACAGGCAGAAAGAGACAGACATATACACAGAGACAGACAGACAGACAGACACACATACATGCATACAGACAGACGTGTGGGGTTGGGGGAGCACATTTTAGAGAGGAAAAGAGCAACATATGTGTTCACCAGAGCATCACGGTGCCCAGGGAGATGATGGCTCAGTGCTCAAGAGTACAGGCTCAGACACCAGCTCCCGTGTTGAGCGCTTCATAATTGACCGTAACTCCAGATTCAGGGGCATCCGACACCTCTGATCTCCATGGGCACTTGTATGTCAGGAAGAGAGAAGAGAGCTTATATCTGCCTTTCAGCACACAGCCTGGTGTAAGTCATGTGAGAACATACCTGCCAAGCCTGGAGAAAGTCACCCGCTTGTGGATAATTGGAAGTTCCCTGGTTGAGGACTTCCTGTGGGGCCAATGCTTTGGCTGAATCTCACCCAAGAGGTGTTGGGTTATCCACAAAAACTGTGTCTTTTGGAAGATGAAATTTATATATTCCCCTCACCCCAACTTCCTCATATAGACCTACTAATAGTCGCTTCTTGTTTAGGGTTGGAAGGAATTACAAGGGACTAGAGACTAGGCCCACTCCATCCTTACTAGGCTAATAATACATAACAAGTATAAAACAGTTGTAAGAGGGGAGAAGAGAATTCTACATGAGAAAATGAACCTGTTGGCAGCCCTGTGTCCACAGAACGTGGCTCTTCGTGAGGCCCAGGGACACGACCCTCGGCCCCTTCCGTTCTCTCTCATGGCTCTGCTTACCCTTAGCTTCCATTGTGAGCTCCTCCTGCTAACAGCAGTGCAGCCCGAAACAAACAAGCAAAGCCAAACTCTAAACCTACCGCTGTCTCCAGCATCTGGCCTTGCTGGCACTAATCACCCTGTTGATCTCTGAAAGACATCACTGAGCCCTTTAGTGAGCTGCTGGGTGAACACACCTCCACGTCCTCCCGCTTGCTTTGGGCTCCTGCACAGACTCAGTTTCTCATTTTTCTTGTAGCTCACCTCTTTTCCTGAACTCCTATTGTCTTTCCCTTGGAGTTTAGTATTGCTGAGGTGTCCCCCCTTCGCACACCATCTGTTTATTTTTGCACTTAACTGTACTTAAAGCTTTCCCATAATCCCCCTTCCATTACTATCAGGTGTCAAGGAAATCCTCCGGCATTGAATTCTTTTCTTTGAAACAAACCCTAGTTTTATCTCTAAAGAAGAAAAGACACAAGGCTAGAGAAGAAGCCCTCCATTTAATTATAAAAGAGCATGGACGTCGGGACAAGTCTTCTGCAGACGAAGTCTCACTGTGTCATATAATGGAAAAGACCACAAAAGGGAAGAAAACCACAAGTTATATAGTTCGCCTATGCCAGCGAACATACTCACTTTGTCGTTGTTTCTTAAAACCAATGGAACCTCATAGACTTCACAGGGAGAATAGTTCTGGAATATGATTTCTGATGGAAAGGGCTGAAATAGGGCCTGGTCCAAGTCAACTCCAGAATACTGCAATTGAAAGAGAAAATTACTCATACTGTGAACAATGGTCAAGATGACTGGGGGAAGTAATGCAAAGATCTAATTATTTAAAATAAAGAACATGGGGGTCATTCAAAAGGGGAAACTACCATAACAATAATTAAAATGAGTGAGATTGTTTTCATTAACTTCGCTATGGAAGAAGACAGAAAACTTGGGAGCTGGCTCAGTAAAGTATAGAGCTTCCAGCATGGGATATGAGTTCTGGTCTCCAGAACCCACATAAGAAGTCAGGCATGGTAGTGCATGCCTGTAATCCCAAGACTGTGGGGCAAAGGCAGGTGGATTTCTAGGGCACACTGGTCATCCAGCATAGCCTAGTCAGTTCCACATCTCGATAAGAGAGCCTCAGAAAATAAGGTGGATGCTGACCCAGCTAGCCTGTGAGCTAGAGCTCTATCAGCAGTATGCTTGCCACATGGCTAACAATTGCTGGCTGCGCTCCAGGAGAAAGAGGATGGATGGCCATAGAGAGCACAGGGGATAAAGACAGTTGGGTTACGTCAACCCCCATGCATTAGACTGAGGGGCTGAGACATGTGCACGACCTCCTGATCCTGCAGCAAGGCTAGAGAGACGGAGACTAGTCTTCCAAAGCTTGTCTAGGAAGGGTAGGACTCTGACGGGCTTTATTCTCGCTGATCTGTAGCTAGATGCGCCACAGAACAGGGATGAACTAGGGTCCCTAAGTCCTTCAGTGCTGGGGCTCAGGGAGGAATAAGGATGAACTAGTGTCCCTAAGTCCTTCAGTGCTGGTGCTCAGGGAGGTCTGGCACCAGCGATCATGTCTCCTCGGAAGGAAGAGTGAGTCACCACAGGATTTGGATAATTTATGCAATCTTCCAATTGTGAAATTTTATAGCTCATAACCAAGAATGCTCTTTAAGATGCAAAAACCTGCAGATTGTAATTATATAAACCAGCCATAAATATGAGAAAACAGTATGTCAGCACAAACAAGAGGTGGCAGAAAACAGCAGTGTGACCCACTCTCTGAAACACAAGGCTCAGAATTTAGCAGAGGTAGAAATAGTAAGAAAGGAAATGCAGGGTCTGTACTACACACGGTCATGGGAAGCAGGGAGTCAGGGTGTGTACGTGTTTAACAGCAGGTTAGCCACAGCTGAAGTGGTGCTGGTACGGAGGAAGGTTAGAAGAACATTCAGAAGAAGGCAGACTGAGATGAGAGAAACTTCAGAACTGATATGGGAGGGGATACGTGAAAAGGCCTAGAATGTGTGCAGCATGTGGAGGCTGGGAATGCGCAAGTGGGGAAGAGGCGTTATTGCTAGAACAATGGCAGAGAGGTTTCTATAGTTGATGATAACACCAATGCAAACATGCAGGAGGCCTTATGAGCTCCAGTAGGGTTAAAAAGACACCCACACCTAGGTAGTAATTATAAAACCATTGAAAACAGAGGCAACAATGTGCAAGAGATGCTAACAGGAAAAAGGGAGTATTTTATTTTATCCAAGAAACAAAAAAGTGTTGGCTGTTCAACATAATTAACAAGGGTAAAAAGTGTGAAAATAATGTCATTTAAACCTTGGGGAAACAAGTCCAAACCAGCCAACCAACCAACCGACCATACAAACAAAGAGAACCTGCAGAAATAAAAAAAAAACCAACTCCCTTCAACAAAGAAGCTCAAACAGAAACATTTTTGGGAAGATAAAAATTATAATTATAACAATGTCCAAAGGAAACCACTGAAGGTATTCTCATAGAGGGAGACATTTGTCTTGGATCTTCAGATATAAGGGAAGGAGAAAAGGATGATAAAGGCGTAACTGTCCACTCTATCTAAACGACTGGGCCATACAGACAACATCAGTGAGAACTTGTTTATCCATGACATGTGTGCCCTAGCTGGACACTCACATCAGGCCAGGGATGGGCACATCCCTATGGCTTCTGCTACTGCTGTGAGTTTCACTGGGTACTTGCTTTTTATCAGAGCAATGAGCAACATCATGATATGAGAGGAATCAGTCAGAAATGAAAGAGTGCATCTGTCACATTCCCCTCACACAGAGGAAAATTTAACCTACGATGTGGAGGGTAAGTTAGGAATCTTTTGAAGGAAGAGATAATGGTCAAAAAATTGACATAAGCAACCTTTCAGGGAGCCAGTGGTTATATGAACATGCTTACACTCATGATACATATATAAATACACAGATGCAACACACAAGTTTTTATTTTAAAGAAGGCTATTCTCCTTCCAAAAATTATTCACAAGCTTACACACCCTTCATAACAGTAGTGAACTGAGCCACCAACAGACCTGTCCGTGATGGAATCCCTTCCCACGCTTTATATTTTCTCTTCCTTCCCATTGGAACGCCATTTCTAAACCTTTGTATGACTTGCTTCAGACATCTGTCTAGCGCAGAGAGGATTTCCCACAGCTTCCTCTTTAGCAGGGCAAACCAATCTCCCCTTTCTCTCACGAGAATACTTCTGCATGTAAAGAGGGGAAAGGAGGAACAGCTGGGAGTCAATAAGGCCATGAAGACAGAAGGGAGGAGGATGTCCAGTCTTAGGATCCGGGGGTCAAGTTTAGATCGTATGAGAGTCACAAGTAGATTTAAATGTGGGAGTAACATGATCCCATTTACATTTTAATTACATGTATATTTAGTGTGCATGTGTGCATACACACATACCTGCAAAATATGCTTACTGTGATGTGCACCTAGAGACCAGAGGACAATTTGTGGGAGTTGGTTCTCTCTCTTCCAGGCAGTACCTAAGAACTGAACCCAGGTCATCAAGCTTGACAGTAAGCTTTTTACCCCCTCGCCAAGACCTCATTTAGAGTCTAAAACTTCATTCATGTTGTACTGTAGATCACTGGGAATGGAGAGGTGACACAGAATCAGAGACTAGAGGGCTGGGGTATGGCTCGGTGGTTTGAGCACTTGTTACACACAGTCAGACATGGTAGCCACCTCTAACCCCAGCACTCAGAAGGCAGAGGTGAGTGATCCCAGAAGCAGGCTGGATATCTAGACTAACTAAATCTGTGAACTCTGGGTTCAAGTGAGAAACTTTGCCTTAATAAATAAGGTGGTGAGTGCAGAACCCCATGTCAGTCTCCACATGCACACACACATGTGCACACTCCCCAACACACACATGCAAGCACAGACATGCACATACACACTACCCATACACAAACAAAGGAAAGAAGGGAGGGAGGGAGGGAGGGAGGGAGGGAGGGGGGGAGG